AGAAGTGGGCTGTAGTCCACGAAAGCTTATGCTCTAATAAATTTGTTAGTCTCTAAGGTGCCACAAGTACTCCTGTTCTTCTTTAAGCAGAAGAATGTTTGCTACACTAAGTAAAGTACTAAAGGAAGCCAAGATACAAGAGTTGTTCCCAGCAAATCTCATGTTTTCAGTGACCTTCATGGAATATTTAGAAACATCTGGTTACATGGCTTCTTAAATCTATAATTACATTATAGATAATGTGTTTAATGCCTATTTTGCCACAGTCATATCTAAAAAAATTAACTGTGATCAGCTACTTAACAATTAATAGTAACAACAAGGGGGAAGGAACACAAGTCAGAACAGGGAAACAGGTTAAAGAATATTTAGATAAATTAGATGTAGTCAAGTCAGCAGGGTCTGACAAAATTCACCCTAGGGTACTTAAGTACTAGCTGAACTAGTTTCTGAACCATTAACAATTATCTTTGAGAACTCATGGAGGATGGGTAATCCCTGAGGACTGAAGGGCAAACATAGTATCTATCTTTAAAAAGCGGAACAAAGAAGACTCGGGAATTATAGACCAGTCAGCCTGACTTCAATACCGGGACAGATACTCGAACAAATTATTAAACAATCAATTTGCAAGCACCTAGAGGATCCTAGGGTCATAAGGATAGCTAACATGGTTTGTCAAGAACAATTCATGCCAAGCCAACTTAATTTCCTTCTCTGATAGGGTTACTGGCCAAGTGGATGAGGGAGAAGTTGTAGAAATGTCTTATCTTGATTTTAATAAAGCTCTTGAAACAGTCCCACATGACATTCTCATAAGCAAACTAGGGAAATGTGGTCCTGATGAAGTTACTATATGGTAACTATAAAAACCAGTTGGTTTTTCAACCAGTTGTGCACTCAACTCAGAGGGGACTTATCAATGGTTGGCAATCAAATTGGGAGGACTCAGCTAAGGGGCTACCACAGGGGTCTGTTCTGGGTCTGGTACTATTCAACACTTTAATTCATAACTTGGATAATGGAGTGGAGAGTACGATTATAAAAATCTGTGGATGACACCAAGCTCGGAGAGGCTATAAGCACTTTGGAGGATAGGATTATAATTCAAAGTGACTTTGATAAATTGGAGATTCAATAGAGACAAGTGCAAAGTGCGACACTTAGGAAGAAAAAAATAAAATTCACAACTAGAAAATTGGAAATAACTGTCTAGACATTAGTATTGCAGAAAGCGATCAGGGGTTACAGGGGATCACAAACTGAAGATAAGCCAACAGTGTGATCCAGTTGTGAAAAAAAGCTAATATTCTGGGATGTAAAATATGGGAAGTAACTGCTCCTCTCTACTTGGCACTGGTGGGGCCCCACTTGGAATACTATGCCCAGTTTTGGGGGCCACGTGTTAAGAAAGATGTAGACAAATGGAGAGAGTTCTGAGGAGAGAAACAAAGGTGATAAAAGGGTTCAAAAATCTGACTATGAGAAAAGACAACTGAGGGGGGAACTGATAACAGTCTTCAAATATAATAAGGACTGGCACAAAGAGGACAGAGATCAATTGTCCTACCTTCAGTGCACATGGAGAAAGAGAACTAATGGGCATAGTCAAGCAGGGAACCAGGGTAACCCCTTACATACTGGGAGTTAAGGAGCTTATTTACACGCCAAGCACCTTCCCACTGGCATTGTGGGGACCACCACCACCAGCCCAGGTAGGAGCTACCGGAATAATTTTCAGAGTAGCAGCCGTGTTAGTCTGTATCCGCAAAAAGAAGAACAGGAGTACTTGTGGCACCTTAGAGACTAACAAATGTATTAGAGCATAAGCTTTCATGGACTACAGCCCACTTGTGGCCACTGACCTTCCCTGAGTCCCTTTCCCCATTTTTTAAATTTTACTTTCCTGCCCCCTCACTTGATTTAGGCTCTCAGGTTCCAATCCTTGGGTCTGGCTAAGCAGAGCCAGATGTAGGAATCAAGAGAAAGGGGAAACAGTGGCTTTATATTGCCCCTTTACACTACCTTTGTCCCTCGGGCAGGCTGGGGGGGAAAAAATCAGTCCTCAGTGCAGGTCACAGCAGCCTCAGGATTGTTAAAACGTGGGCTGTCTGCTAGCTTCCCCCCAAGGGGCTGTCACAGCTGTCAGGGATTGCTAGAGCAAAGTGCAGTCTTCCCGCCGCCCCCAACACACCTGCTATGCCAGGGAAGATGCCACAGATTGGGGTCTATGCACAGTGCCCTCCATAGTCCATGTGGCGCGGCTCTGGCCACAGGCTGAACTAGAAAGTAGGTGAGGGCTGCATGGCAGCCTGGCACCCAAGCCCTGGTTTGGGCTAAACATCAGGATTCATTTTTCCAGACTTTCTACCTGAACACTCGATGTCTATCGGGTGGGCTGAGAACCAAATCGAGAACCAGTTATATCATCAAGTGCATGGAGATTTGGAAAGGGTTAACATTTGCCTCTGGGATACTGTGCAGTTCAGAGGTTGCACTCTACTTTAGCAGAGCCTGTTTCCTTCTCTGACCAAGCTGGAGGGAAAGCAGAGTGAGAAAGCCTGAAAGGTGTGAGACTCTTTGGCTTCCAGTGCTGGCTCTTTGAGGCTCTGCTGTGGCATGGGATGCCTTGATAAAGAACTGCAAATAGAAAGCGGTCAGGAGAGAAGACCTCAGCTTTAACAGGGGACTCTGGGGGAGGAGACCCAGCAAGCAGGACTGAAACAAACTAGCCAGAGAAAACTAAATCCATATACCCAGCAACGGAGACAAAATATCCCAAGCTCCAGGCCTTTACGGGTCTCTTAGACTATTTCCCTTTGTGCAGATCATGTCTCTTCTGCATCATTAATGAAGCCTTTTTATTTCATTAAATTTTAAGAAATGCCACATTACACACGTAGCCAAATGCAAAGATTAGCAAAGGGAAAAATCTGTTTCTGGTCAGTGACTACAATGCAGTGCCATCTGCTGGGGGCTGCAAGCCAGCTGCCTGTAGTTATCATTCAAGCAAAACACAAGCCCCCTCCCCTTCCCCTCCGCCCCCCCCCCCAAAGTATCATTTGTGTTTGGCAGTGCTTTGTCCCAGTTATATATTTTTGTACAGTGGTTTGCAAACTAGGAACCACCCTGAACTATCTAACTGGAGTAACCATGGACCTGGATAAGACATGCCTCTATATGCCATTGATGCAGAAAACAAATTGCTGACACGTGGAATCACCTAAGAATGCTACAAACTCCCTGAAATGCAAACAAAGTGTCAGGCTAACATCAGGGAGAGATGAACTAGAGGTGCACATGAGAATGCGTGCACACACACACGCACGCACGCACCCACCCCCACTATTCCCACACAGCTGCTCTCACTTTTTACAAAGATAAGACCTCCCTAGTCAATTTAAAGAGTTTCTCTGACACTAATTTGAGGAGAAGGATGCAAAAAGGCAGTGACACACTGAGCTATCTGTGCTCATGTCTCATGACATGCTCGAAGGACAAACTTTTAAACCAGCCTGTCAGAATCTGATTTTGCAGAAGTGTTGGTAGCTTGGACACTCAGAAGCAACTTGATGTATTTATCTCAGGAAACTGTTTCAAGGAGCAGATGAACAAAGAGAGCATAAAGAAGCACAGTGCCCCTCCAATCTCTCTGTTCTTTACCTGAGGAATTTGCTTTTACTTATGTGGAGTTTGCTTTCATCGTAGTCACGAATGTGCATTTATCCACAATCAGTATACCTTGGCCATGTCTGTTCTAAAAAGGCTCAGAACTGGAAGAGCAAGGGTCTGTGGGTGGGGAGTGAGGGACAATGATAAAGCAGCAGGGTCAGGGGAAGCCTAGGGCTGGGATAGCAGGGAGGCTTTGGGTCAGGATTGAGCTCTGCCAATGCCCGGGGGGAGAAGAGGGGCAGGACTGGAATAGCAGCAGGGGCAGTGGGCTGTGCGAGGGAAACGTCACAGTGCCTGCCTACAGCATGGCTAACTTTAAACAGAGTAATTAGTCTCATTTTCATATGAATTTGTTGTTTGTAAGTGTTGTGATTCATTACCACTCCAGTTCCATTGAACTCATCACTGATGTAATGATATAAAAACAGAATGAGCTCAACATGGAGTCTCTTTCCTTGGCCATGGGGAGGTTACCAATTAGCTCACCTGGTACAGATCCTGCAGCTAAAAGGGCCCTGGGTTGCATCTCAGTTTTGAGCGTGCATACCGTCGCAGGCAAGGCTTTGATTGGCAATAGCATCCATAATAATTAGCAAGCTAACAGAACAGGGCTGGAATCACCCCAGCTTTACTCGTGGAAAATTCCTGCTTCTCTTCTATTTTTAATGTGAAATATGAAATATAAAGTATAGCAACATTAAACAAAAAAGGGGGGGGGAATTCAGCCCTGTACAGAGGGCCAGCACAAGGCCCAGATAGTACTTAAGTCCTACTAAAGCCATTAATTTTAAACAAAATATAAAGCTAAGACATGACGGACCATTGTTAGGAGAGGCTTTTCCTCTTGGTGACAGCATTCTGGACTCCGAGCAATGGGTGCCTTATAAATGTGTGAAATAATAATTACTATTCAGTGTGGCATTAACATGAAAACAGGCAATTGTATGAAGTTGTCCATTTTTAAAAATTTCCAAATGTTTTATGGAATAAACTCTATTTTCACTTGAACCACATGTGGTCCTATACCAAGAGTCCTGTTGTTATGGACTGTCTTCCTGTTATTTTCTCTCCTTGTCTTAGTCCCCTGCAGTCTCAAAGACGGCCGGTTTCCCTTTCCTTTCATGTGGTTCAGGGCCCCCAATTCTGATCAGAGATCCACTGTGTTTTTCAACACACTCTTGAGCTCTGCTCAGAATTGGTCCCCAAGTGTTTTCAGAACAGCAATGCAATCCTGCTCTAAGCTGTCACATGTGTCTAGTTAAACAGGAATTTGTCACTTCTTCCCTATGTCCCTGGCAGCCCTTGGGATCGCTTTTTGCATTGCTTACCTCTTAAATTTCCTTTATCTTGAGATCAAACATTAGTGATTTCCCAGGGAAGATTCATAGCAGCAGCAGGCCTGTTCCATATTCTTTATTTAGGGAATCAGGATAAAAGGCAGGTACTAAAACAAAACAAAAACAGAGAAGTGCTTTGTGTTTGTTTTCTTAAGACTGGGTCACACAGTCATTCCATTTGCTATGAGATAGCTCATAGTTATGGATTTTATCATTGCTGCACGAGAACTCTTTGGACACAGATCAGAGAATGTGACAGTAGTCATGCATATCAGCAATAAGACTAACCCTGTGAAGTTATAAAAAATAAAACAAAAATCCTACACCTTTTTTTGGAGTCAGCTCAAAATATGGGTCTTGGTTCCTGGACTCCCCCACTTAAATGCAGTTCATGTTCCTACAGCTAAACTATTAATGTAAGTATAAATAGGTTGTCAATAATGCAAAGGTACAGTTAAACAAAACACACTGCACTGGAGTTTATAAACAGGCTGAGAGGATGCCACTGAACTCTATTAATTCCCCACTCTGAAGTGACTGTGGTGCCTTGGCATTGTTTCTTTTAATGCTTTGCACAGGTAGATACTACTGTTACCTAGAGTAATAAATGATGACTATTTAATGATCCCACCCTGCACATCTCACTCTGCAGGTCAGAAAGGTCTTGTATTTTTCAACAGAAATGGGAGCAAATTTCACCACAATTGAAACAGTTTTTAGTCATGGCACAAAAAACTAGGCAGAATCAGGAGCTTCTGCAGGGTAGAGAATAAGATCAGAGCTAATCACAGGTATTATGGTATTGGGTAACTAGAAACACATTCAGAAAAAAGTCCAGTGGATTGTCTCTGATGTGGAATCCCAGGCACTTCCTACAAGCTTCTAGACTCCATGTTACGGACTAACTGAAGCATTTTCTCTCTCCCCAACTCCCCAGCCCCCCTTTTTGCAGCAGAGCTGCTAGTAATGAAGGTATAGTTTGTTCTTCAAAATGTGCTTCCTTTGCTTTAGATGCTGAATCATGGTGCAAAGACCTAACACTTCATCTGCAGGACTCCAATTCTCATCTTTTGTACCATCTCCAACTGGTGCATGTGGTAGCTTCAAGTTTTCTTAGAAATTCTGGCCCTGATCTGCTCCTGTAGCCACCCTATGAAAGAACGTGGAATATGAGGGGGATCTGGAGAAAGGCGGTCAGGTTTCAGGATGGATTTAGTTGGGTGTGACAGCAGAGATTCAAGGTAGCGGCCTTGGCAGCTACTTGACAAAACACAGGACTCTTCCCATGTGATACTAGCCTCTATGCACACTCAACACAGATCTCTTTCCTGTATCACTTACTGCTTCCAAAACAAAGTGTCCCGTCCCCCAGCATGGAGTATCCCCAAGTGGCTCAGAGAGTCACTGTAATCCTGGTGCAGTGGGCACAGCCAGGAAAAATGGGGGGCGGCCAATGCATCTCTGTACCCTGGAAATCTCCAGCTGCTAGAATGACTCTGGGTGTGTGTGCAGCCAACATAGTTTGGAACTGGCCTGATGTCTACTGGCCCCATAACTCACAGGAAGGGGGTGCCCACTTTGCATTCCCTACCTGAATGATGCCTAGCCCAGAAGGCCCATGCCTCAGGCTCTTTGATTCCCAATCTTGGAAGCTGATCCCTTCTCATTGATTTTTGCCAGCGAAACGGGTTATTGCTGCCTCTCAGCAGGTAGCGTATTAATTTTCTGTGACATCTGAATTTGTTACCCAAGTTAACATCATTCAGTTTGTCAGGTCCTGGGGAGAATGACAGAGCCAACGGAAATTGCTCTGGCATTAATTACACACTATATCCTCTGCAGCAGTTAATCCTGATGATGAGATGCCCCTACTGCAGTAGATGCACTGTTAATGCAATAAGACAAAAATTTTAAACTAGACCAGGGGGTTGCAAACTGGCACATTCATCACTGTTGTGCTGTTGCCGCCAGAGTCCCAGTGTTTGAAGTTGCACTGAAACAAAGAGAGCAATTCCAGATTTAGGGCTGTGCTTCCATCCAGCACTCTGGGAAGTATGATCCCAGGGAGAAACAGCGTCACGTTGCACAGCTGCTCCTTCTGAGAGGCCTCTTTCGATGCTACTTTTACAGGACCAGTGCCACAGAAATCACCTAGCCCTGAATTGTCCCCTCTGGATCCACATGGGATGGATTTGAAGCTGCCCTGTAATAATTTATTAATAGTGTATGTTGGCCTGCCTATTGAGATGTTACTGTATGAATATATTGGTTTAATTTAATAGGGGGCTGTTGGGAAAAACAAGCAGGAAGGGAAAGAATGGCTCAGGATAAACCACTTCTCAGCAAACACTTGAGAGTTGTTAAGAGACGATGCCAGGATAGGAAAAGGCCTGAGAATGCAGAAGAACAGAAGACCTCTGGCAGTTTAAAAAAGGTCGGTCGGTCTTTCTCTCAAAAGAGGTTCAAGGGAACCAGACAGACACAGGAACCTGATAGGGATGGGGCGGGTGTGAAGAAGTTAGGCCTGCCATCAGGGGATGGTAAAACTATAGATACACACATACATAGACAGTTTTAAAATCCTTTTTTTCTAAATGTTCTGTTCCTAAGATTACACAACACTTCGATTTAAGACTATCTTCTCACTGTATAGCATCTGTAGCACCCCGAAAGGGAAGAAATGCAAGTGCCAGAACCCAATGGGGCCTTCTGGGTAAGCAGGGTTGGTACACAGGGTACCGTCACACAAGGGTTGGTCTAAGAGTGGGAGAACTGTGGAGTGCCACCCCAAGAGACCTGAAGGCATGAGGCCTGACATTTGAGGGGGTGCACTCAGAGAAACCAGAAAGGGGACAGAGATGCAGCTAACCCTGTAACTGGGACGCCTTGCATGAAAGGGATTGTGCACAAGGCATCAACATGCTACCAGCACAGATTTGGGGCTTGAGCCATCTCCCACCCCAAAGCTCCCAGGAGGTGCTCCGTATGGATTGATTTAAATCACCAAACTGGAAACCTTGATAAAAACAAATCAGTTTTAATTTTGTTTTGCATTTGTACTTTGTTATTTTGCTAAAGAAAGGTCAATTCACATCAGTTGGTACTTTTTAGTTAATGAGGATAGACTATATCTATACACATATCTTTATTTAAGCAATTATATAGCTTAGCACACATTGAGATTCTTAATTTTTATAGTTTTATTACATTAGAAAATGGTGAATGACTCATTTCTTATTTACTAGATAGGATTAATTTTTCACTTGTAATTTGTGTCAAACTGCATTTGGATGGAAATTGAAGGAATTCAATTACAAATGCACAAACAGCATTTTAAAATTGTTTTCATTAGTTAAATACAACTAGATTAAGGTGCTGAATACATAGGAACAAGTATCATGTTTTGCAAGTATTATCTGCATTTAGTGAATTGAACTGGTTGTTTCAGGTCACCGTGTCCGTCGAGATTTTAGAACTAGTAGATCTCATTCTCTTAAACCTAGTTTTATTCATAGGTTGGGAGAGGAAAATAAGCATTCCTGTGATTTCAGCTCCCAAGCAGCTTCTCAACTTTGAATGACCTAGTCATTGAATTGCACTAGTTGAATAAACTGAAAAGAAGAAAATACTCTCTCTGCATCTTCAGAAGAGGGTACTGCTGTCAACAGTTGGTTTACACCCCTTCAACAAATTCTGGTTCCAAGTGCTTACCAGTGACTTCCATCAATTCAGTGGTTTGACTCTTTTTAAAATTTCAGCAGCAAACGTGTTTAGTATTTTTTTATTTCATTTACATTATTTTAACAGATTATATGAAGTTTAAGGCTGAACATGGGTTGTCAATTTCAAAATTTAAAATTAAATAAATTTTTAAAAAGAAATGTATTTAAGTACAAAAATCCATACCGTGGTTCCATGGTAGGAGAGAGTGGTGGAGACAGGCTAGAGCCAGCAGAATTTGTACCTAATCCCCGGTCTAGCCCCAGAGCTATTCCCCAGGAAAAATAATACAGCCTCGGATGATGTGATCTTCTCCACATATTCCTCACCCCTTCCCTGTGACAAATAAAGGCAAAGAGAGCTAATAGGACCAGGCTGTTGGGGGGAGCCCTGTTAAGAGCTGCACCCAAAAAGCCTCTTGCAGTGCACAAGACATTTTATTGGTCCTACAAACAGGGCCGGCTCCAGGGTTTTGGCCACCCCAAGCAGCCAAAAAAAAAAAAAAAAGACCACGATCGCGATCTGCGGCAGCAATTCGGCAGGAGGTCCTTTGCTCCCAGCGGGAGTGAGGGACCGTCTGCCGAATTGCCGCCGAATACCTGGACGTGCCGCCCCTCACCGGAGCGGCCGCCCCAAGCACCTGCTTGTCAGGCTGGTGCCTGGAGCCGGCCCTGCTACAAAACCCAGATATACTTGGTATACTTGTGTTGGTGTCACTAGGCATCACCCTAGGTAACTCGGAGGGGTGGGGGGAGGGGGTGGAAGACCACAAGAGTCGATGAAGCCCCCCCGCTCTAGGCCAAAGTGAACCAAAGCCCCTCCATGTTAAACTTTACTAACCTCACAGCCAGCAGCTGGAAAGCGGTAGTAATAAGGGGAACCTACATGCTTCTAGCTGAAGGACAAAATAACTTGCAGAAGGGAACATTGCGAACAAGCTACACAGCCAAGGTCGTTTAATGTAACTGCTACAGGGGGAGGAAGGGGGGGAGGTAGGGAAGGAAGGGGGGAGGAAGGAAAGGATAAAAAGGGAAAAACTGCTTGTATCAGCGCACTTGATTTGAGACATGCTGGTCTCCTAGTGCCTATTCAGAGCTCTTGAATAAACTTTATCTGCTTCTCCACCCTGGTGTATTCATTGGCACGAAGCACACCGGGCAACGAACCCCACTGTTGCCCCCCTCGGGCCCTCTGTGCCGGCAACAGTTTTGGCGTCCCTGGGTGGACCCAAGGCTGAAATTTAGCCTTGCCCGGATCCCTCCCGGCGGCCGACGGGTTGCGGCGACGACCGACGCCCAGCGTGCACCGGTGACTTCATGGGGGACCTCGGCGGAGACGCGGTTTGATCTACCCTGGAGGGCACAACGGTGCAACGCGCTCGGATAGT